ACACTGAAGGGCACTGATATCATGGAGTTCTGAGAAACATTCGAGTCAGAATGTACAATCCCTACAAGTTATGCTTTGTACTCAAGCATAGACCTACAAATTCATTCATCTTCTTCCAAATTTGTTATAATTCACAAATATTTAATTGCTGATTCTTTATTATTAGAGCGCTCTTTGTAATGCTATTTTGAGGAATTAGAAAGATTGGCTGCTTTTGAAATGACGGCTCTTGAGGGCTGTTTAGGCCAATTTTCCTGGGAAATCTTCTTTTCTAACTGGTACGCTTGATTCCACTTTATTTTATTGTTCTCTTAGATATGACTGCTCTAGTGCTGATCTCAATCCGATCGGTAGCATCAGCAAGCTGGATCTTCGCCGGTTCATGCAGTTTGTTCTGGAAGGCGGTCTTAGTTGCTCACGTAAGTCAACTTTCGGCCAGCATGGCCCTTGTGCCAAAAACATTGAGCTTGACCGGCTGCTGGAAGAGACTTCAGAGCAAATTTTGAATGCGCTACCTTCGGCAGAATTGGAGCCTTTGTCTCTTGACGGTTCAGTGGTGCAGACGGATGAGCTTGACATGGGTCTTACGTATGATGAGTTGTCTATATTTGGTCGACTTCGTAAGCAAGCCGCCTGTGGACCCTACAGTATGTTGGCACATCTCCTCTTCGATGAGACGCATCCGCGGTTCTCAACCGCCTCATCCGATTCCAATGCCTGCGGCAGTCCGGCGAAATGCCTGGCTGACAAGGTGAAGCATTTCTTTCGTCGCTATGCCATTAGCCGACACAAGTCAACTGTCTTGCCACCTTCATATCATACTGAGGCGTACAGTGCTGACGATAATCGGTGAGTTGTGTATTTAGACTTCTTTCCAAGCATGCGCGAGAGCACAGGATCATTTGAATTAGTTAGTTATGCTTTTGCAATTCGCTTCTAGCAAGTTCCAGATATTGCCTTGATTTCATTTTAATGTAATTTTTAAAAATTCCGACTAGCCTTATTAACGTACAAATGTAGAGCTTGAATTTATTAACCAAACTCAATAAAAATAGCTTTTTTTGTCCTTGGTGAGGCAATATTCCCATAAAGTGCTTGGCTTTATATCCAAGTTTTCTTCAAATACGCCCGTAATTTCGGTGCTTACGAAAAGTCTAGATTTAAATTGATTTAAATCTTTATTTATTCTGAAACTCCAAATAAAATCGT